GGTGGGTGTGTTTTTCCCAACGTGTCGTGAGGTTGAGATTTCGGTCCGCAATTGTGCAGAGATTCCATATCTGGGAACAGAGGGCAGTATTTCGAAAAGAGTATATAGACAACGACCACCTTAAAATTAAAACGACCATAAAACGATTTTGAAATCAAATTTCATTCACAGCACATCGTAAAAGGTGTGAAAAGAAAACCCAAATACACACAAAAAAAATAGAGAGCCAATCACTATTTTTTGCTATAAAGCTCTTAAACGAAAAGCGAACTCTTTTTATACCTTCTTTCCTTCAAAAGTTCTCTGCCTTTTTAATTGCGATACATCCGTGGTGCCAAAGCACGTCGGCCAAATCCACGTCGCCTATTGGTAAGAGCTTAAACATTTTGTTAAAGAATATTCTTATCCACATTTTGTAGAATAATTAGCGATGAGGGAGAATTCGCCGAATTTTTTTATTGCTCGGAGCAATGCGCCATCTATCGTGTGGTAAACAATGCATGAAAAAGATCAGACTGCGCCTTCGCCCGTAGTGGTTCTTGGCTTCCTGTTATGTGCTGAAAAGCAAAGCGTTGTTGATGATCGTCAACGTGGTTGGCGTGGTGGAAGCTCATCGCTTCGCGTAGAACGTCTATCCTTGACTGAATTCCCGTCGTGTGTCACGATGGTAACCCTGCACGTCCTAGAAGGGAAGATCCATCTACTAGTGCGGCGATGTTTGTGGCGGGACACGCAATACAAAACAACAGAAACGCTCGTGCCGTCGTGTTTCTTTATTTCGACTACAGTGGTGCTTCTTAGCATTTATGTCCTCGAATATTTCCTTGTTTTCTTATTTTGCGCGTTCCATGCGTGTGCTCCAGTTCAAGGTATTACTGGTGCGTACTGGTATTTAAACGTTTTTATGAAGGATGCCAATTTTGACGCGTTTTCATTACCCGAGAAAAGTTATTATTGTTAGAATTCCTGAACTCTCGCAACGTCTGTGATCACAAAATCAATTTCTACCTTGCTATATCACTGCCAAGATTACATTGTCTTTTGCAATCGTAGAGAAGGCGTGGGGCGAGATTTTTACTATATTGTGTTATAGTGTGTTATAGTCGTGATCGTCCAAGGCGGGGGGGGGGGGGGGGGGAGGGTGTACTGCAACTTTTTCGTTTGTCTTCTCATTCACTCTGCCCTGCGAGCCTACCCTGACAAAATAAAAGTTAATAAACTTTCAGCAGATAGAAAACTGTACATTATCTGGTATGTCAGTTAGTGACCACGAATAAACGGCCGACGGCGGCGGAGAAGCGGTCGCCGTGTTGACGACCTGCTGTGCTAGGTGCAGTGGTCGCAGGAGTGCGTACGCGCGGCGCAGGGCGTTTGATTCTGTCACTCCATTCACAACGGACGAAGTCGTAGCTAACGCGCTCGTTACAAGCGCCAGAATTGCAGTTTGTGCAGTCTGTATCTTAAAAAGAAACGGCTGCAGTTTCACCGCTTTCCAGTCGAGGAACCACGTTGAAGCACTTGGTGCAGGCTCATCGGTTTGACAGACCCCGGTGCTAAGGTCAACATGTTCGGAACATTCCGTAGATCGGAGTCGCCACTCCTAATCGCCCGATTCCGACGAGGAACTGGAGTCTTCATCAGAAGACTCGCCGCACTTTCCAACAGGCGTACCGGCGTATGGGACCAGTCCCATAATATGGAATTGTAGTAGACCGTTTTTCTCCTCCGCTACGGTATCCCTGAAGAAAACACCACAGCTGCGCCTGCGCGCCGCCAGCCTTAACTGCAGAGTGTAAGGTCTTGTGGCGGATTACGGAGCGCTATCCGGGTGCTTAGCGGGCTGCGGGAACGGTCTACTACAATTCCCCAATGTCGCTGTATTCCAACATATTTATTGAACTTGGCTCAGCTGCGTTATGACCACGGCTATCGCGGTGAGGAGAGGCGCCGATTCAGAAAACCTGTCTGTGGCATCGGCGCCATCAGCGCAGTAATACCCTGTGGTAAAACCTACCAGCACAACGCCAGCTCGCCGCTAGCTCCCTCATTCCCGTACCCCTGAGGGAACTTCCGGTTCCGGTGCCAGAGTACGTCCCCAGCGTCAAAATTGCGCCGCGGATTGATTTGCGGTGAGATGGAGAGGAAAAAATAAAAAAAAACTCGATATTTCATTATTTGTCGTGCAGAAGTTAATCAACCGAAACGAAAAGGGGTGCCTGTTCGACGTTCAGTGAACATTGAAGGCTTAATCTAAAAGTTATTTGGCAAAAGTAAAAAGGTAATTTCATGGTCCCCTTAAAGGTCGACCTACAAAATCGTCTTCTGCCGGGCAGAAAACCGGTACGCAGTTTCGCTCTCTCCATTACCTCTTACACTCTTCTCTCCTCTTCTCCCCACAGGAGCACGTCTGTGAGCTACTCCCCGCAGAAAAGAGGATTGTCTTCTCTTTCTCGAATGAAAGGGAGGAATTGGTGGAGAGTTTCGTCCTTTCTGCTTCCTGGTAGGCCTTTAAGAAAGTTGTGGCGTTGCCTGTAACGGGGCCCGAACTTTATGCTTCGTATTTCGCACTTCGGCCTTCTTACCGTCTCGGGCAACGATTTTATGATTAAAACAATTTGCATCTCGTCATTTTTACGTTGTTCATCGTGTCCCGGAGGATAGAGAAAACACCACCTTCATTAAAAATGTCGCGATTTCGCTGCATAATCGTAAAGCAAAAGTCGAGCTTTTTTCCCCACCTGCAGCCGCAAGTAGCAACCGAAGGGACTACGGCGAGAAGATTAGGTGACCTCGCTCGGCTCTAAGCTGCAGCGTAACGCCCGCTAATGTCAGCAGAGAGAGGGAGAAGACGCGTGCTCCGAGATAGCACACGGGAACCTACACAGCACTCCGAGTGACGTCACTAGAAGTGCGACCATGTGTGACCCTGAGGACTGGGAGTGAGTTGAGGGATGCCCGAAATGTCAATATTCGTCTTTTTTTTTTTTTTTTAAGAAACAACTAGGACACGCAAGCGAAATCGGTTTTCCGTTCTTCACTTCAGAAATGTCAGAAGGTAACTTCCACAAATTTTTGACCAAAGTCCAGAAATCGTTGCACACCCCCTTTAAGATACTCAAGACTCGCTGCGCGCCGTGTTTCTTACGCTGTCAGCGATTATATGGCGCCTGAATTTTTTTTGCAACAAGGAAGTATACACACTGTAAGAAATCATCTTTCGAAATCCAATTATGACGACGTGGTTTTCTTCTTATTTTTCCTTTAGAGGGCAATACGTGGAGATAGGATCTCGCCTCTCACCGGTTTCATCAGGAGTGCCACACGGAAGTGTTTTGGGTCCTCTTTTATTTTTAATTTTTATAAACAATTTGCCCAATGACATTACAGTAGTTATAAGACTCTTCGCAGACGACTGCGTGATATACAGTAAGATGAACACAGCGGAAGATGAGGTGGAGTTAAACAATAACCTACAAAGAAATTAATAACTGATGTGAAACGTGGCAGAGGGTGTTAAACCTGAAAAAAATTCTGTTTTTATGACAATAATTAGAAAGAATAATGTTTTAAATTATGAATATAGCATAGATAATCGAAAACTTTCTAAAGTCATGGAATATAGGTATCTAGGTTTGACATTTATTTCTGGCCTACGATGGAACAGACACACTGACAAAGTGTGCGTCAAAGCTAATAAAGCACTATAAAGCCACAGACGAAACCTCTCTACTGCTATACACGAGATAAAAGCTCTTTCATACAAGACTCTCATAAGACCTATTATCAAGTGTGCAAAAATCGTGTGGGACCCACATACCTTGACAAATTGTGCGAAATTGGACGAGATTCAGCGACTAGCCTCCAGATTCATATTTAACAAATTTAGACGTGCTCATTTTCCCACTGAACTATGTGAACGCGCAAAGCTCGCAACTTTTCAATCGAGAACAAAATATGACCGCGCGAGTTTGTTTTACCAGATTATTCAAAATCAAGTAAAATAAATTGTTCAGAATACTTCGAAATGCGCTTCAATAAATCATCAAGGAACCACCACACCATGTGCATTCCAAGTCCGTATGTACGAAATGATTGTTTTAAATTCAGTTTTTTTTCTCTAGAGTCATAAACGAATGAAACATGCTACCGTATGCCACTGTTTCATCAGCGTCACTAAGTTAATTTCTTAAAAATAATTAAACGACTGTTTGATGTGCTACTTATTACATTTAATATATTTACCAACATTTAGTTTCATATCAGCTTTTGGAGATGACTTCCTTTGATCCTTCTTGATCTTTGAGTGATGTACATTTAGAGTGTAATTTATGTATACTTGTTTATGTTTCTTGTCCGCGTTATAATATATTGTATTGGTTGTTGCGGGATAATTCTTATCTTGTACCAGCGAGCTGTACGTGTTCGTTATGTATTTTTATTTCATCCTGTAAGGGCCCTGTTTGGGCTAACACTATTAATAAATAAAAATGAAATTAATAAAATCTGGTGCGTCTAGTTTCCAGCAATGGAATCGGGAGGTTCATTTTCTACAATCCAAGGAGAGAGCGCGGCGAATGACGGGGCTGAAATTATGCTTAGACCTGGGAAAACGGTCTCCTCTGTAACACCGACCGTGACGTTTTACGTGCTAACGTCGCGCTCGGTGTCAGCTGTCAGATTGTTACTTTTTGTCCTCAAGATATTTGAAGCCTCGTCATTCGACGAGCGCCCTTCGCAGGTCGCAGTGATTGGTGCTCGTAAAAGCTATGCGGAAAAATGAATGCGCTGAATTTTTCTAAAAGGCTCGCAATAAAAAAAGAAAAAAATAACTGCGGTTTTACGTGACAAGTGGCAGCACGCAAGATAGAAAGTTCAATCTATGTTTGGATGCAATTCGTGTGCTTTCACCGAGTGCACAAAACACCGAAGTATCTCGGCTGTCACGGGAGAAGGTCCCGATGGGAATCAAAAATAGAAAAAAAAGCGTTACTGCAACTCACATAGAACGGACAGATGAAGCTTGCTGCTGAAGCCTTCTCCGATGACGTTGGAAGCGATGCATTCGTACGAGCCCGCCTGCCTCCTTCCGACTCGGGAGAGAAGCAGAGAGTCGTTCCGAACGTCCAGCACTCGCCCGCCGTGGCGCCAGGATACAGCCGACGCGGCGGGGTTGGCGTTGACCGCGCAGACGAGCGTCACGTTGTCTCCTTCCAGCGGTCTTCGGTTCGCCGTGGTCAGCGTCAGCTGTGGAGCGTCTGTGAGAATCCGGGAAAGAAGCAAGATAATGCAGCTGTTTTGAGGTGCTGAATCCAAGCTGAGAGTTTGGGAATTTTTCGATCAGGGGGAAACAAGAATATTTAGCGAGTACCAAAGACGCTACTAATATAAAACAACACACAGACCAATTTTGCTTTTTAGATTGTTTGCACAAAGAATGATCTGCGTGGGATAGCTATGTCATTGCTTTTATATCGTCATCTTTAGAATGGACATGTGAACGCGAATGTTTTAAGCTGCTAATTCGTGAGCGACGTTTCAAAAGTTCACTAAGAAACATGCCGTATTTAAATATGCCTTTTTACCCTGGGCCTCGACCTTCCTAAAGTCATGTACCGCATTAAATATATATCGAACGAACGCACGTTAATTTCTCACCGCCGCAGGTACATATGGGCGCAACTATAGGGCATCGAATCAAAATATGGCGACAGTGGCAGTGTAGAAGGGAAAGAAGCAGAGGGACTAAACGCGTGTGAAATAAACCCTCTACAAAAGGTCGCGCCATCTAGTAGGTTCTGCGCCAACAATCTGAATCTACCTGGGCACGTACTCGGAGCACGCGGTTGGACAGGGGGGCTGCTTCAGCGCTCGGTGTGAACTCGCCTCAGCGCGTATCGAAAACGAGTGCTGCGTCAGCATTCGGCGAGGACTCGGATCCAATCACACGCTTCCTCCTCGAAGAAAGGACGGCCCCCAATGTTGCCTGATGGACTTTTGAAAAGAGGTCGATTCGAAGCGCAACTTTCGCATCTGTGTATTAGCGGCTTAGTTTTTGCTCTAGAACATGTACAAATCACTTCTAGTCTTTTACATATAGGGAGGCCCTCTACCGCCAGCCCAGACCCACGAGCTAGGCCATTCATTGGTACGGACGAAGTGATTCAGCAAGGAAGTTGAAGGAAAGCTACGAGCCGAATGCGTTTCCGCGCATTCTAACATACATTCATGACCGATCGGACGACGTGTATAACCCCAGTGTTGGTATGGTCACTGAAGGCTTAAAGCACACGGGCTATGACTAGTTCTGAGCTCTAAAAAAAGAGTTACGGCTTAGGCGAGCTGGTGAATATTAAGCAATAAAACAAGAGACACGGAACAAGAAGGACACACACAACACCGTCTCATTCACAGCTAAAAAGTTGTATTAACAACACTCACTTTATAGTAAACAACCCTTAGACGGCGCCAAAGTGTGGAAAAAAAGGCAAGGCTAGTATCAGCAAAAAAAGGACCATTCATCGGCGATATCTAATCAATTACAACCTACGAAGCAAAATCCAAGAACTACAACAGCACAAATGTCCGCACCTGTTTTTCAAGAACAACCGAAAAAATTATGACACAATTTTGCGCTGATGTAATCCTAATTGTTTCCTTCAAAACACGTTTCAACGGATCCAATTATTTGCATGCCATCTGTGTCAATTTCCCCTCGGGAACACAATAGTTGCACTCATCCAAATGCTCCACTATTTCAGAGTTGGGCAACTCAGATAGCACTGCCCTTTCATTAACACAAACCCAGTCTGCTCAGCGTAAGAAAGGCCACACGTCATAGGAATATTAGAGACGATATATTTTCTGCACGCTATGGCTGGATTTCTGTGCCTTTTGCCAGACTCTTCATGTACTCCCAAGAAGAGAGCGAATCGACTCGGACGAAAATCGTTCTTAAAAACTTCTCCAAATCAAACCGCGCTGCTAAACCTTTTGAATTGTAAGAGATTGCGTAAAAAAAAAAAAAAAAAAAAAAAAAACGGAAGGCGCATTTTACTCGTCAAACACGTTCGAATCCGAAAGCCAAACGCCGGACGCCGGCGTTCCGCGTTCTAACGTGTTCAACGAGTAGAGTGGAGACAGAGGCAGCTGTGGCATTAAGTCCACCCACTAATCGTACCAACCAGAGCTTGGCGTTCAGACGTCCCTGTGCGCTCTCGTTTCTTCTTCTCCCTCAGTTTCTTGGCGCATGGGACTATGCTCCGTTTCAGCACAAGTCAGCCCGCAGCCGAAGCTACGAGCTGATGGCAAAATGGCGAATGGAGCACACACATGAACAGCGGAAAGGTCCTTATGTAATAATAAGGCAGGATTCTGGAGCTGCCGTGACACTGGTCGGTTAGCCCCTCATTCCGAAGCTGGCCTTGACGTCGGCAACCTCTGCTCAACGTTTCTGCTCGGTCGTTGTTCTTCTCAGAATTGAAGACGTATAGGCGTAAATTGTCTGACTCACAGAAGATTCAGATACAACTGAAGGCGCATACGTTCAGGATCAGATATCGTCTGGTGTTCTTGTGAAATGCAGACGACTCCGTGAAATGCAGACGCCGTAGACGCCGTGGACAAAACACACGACGGTAACCTCTCTTCCAATACAGTTGTACCGATGACTGAGAGAAACACTTCTTCGGTCCAAAATCAGGCAGGGAGAACGCCCGCGAAGGGTTCCTTTCGCACGCCAACCGCGTAGGCGTTCGCTTGGTCGACGTCCGCACGAAAATGAAAATTGATCTCAACAGCATGGCGAGTTCCAAGAATCGTATTATCGCTGCCCAGACACCAAACCTGCGGCATCAGACGATACGAAAGGCGAAGAATCATAGTAGGAAGCAAAACCTTGACGTGATCCGCTATGCCCTGCGTCGCTTAAAATGTCAGTGAGTACCTCACTTCGCTCGGACCAATGGCACAGCGAAGTATAGAAAGGTGGGCGTATTGGACACACACTTTGTGTCCGACTGCACGTAGTTTCCTTGCCTACTTAAGGCGAGCGTTTATATTAAATCGGGCCAAACACCGTCTAAAGTACACTAAATAAAGTTGAAAAACTTAATGCAGGTGGGAATCAGTCACCAAACCGGTCGAAGGTCATATAATATGTTCGTATTTTACGGAAATAGTGTCCGGTGTTTTTAACTCCTAACAAAACAAAGTAGGGCCGAAAGTTTGCGGAGTGCGCGGATTGGACATGGGTGACAAAAGAGCGGCGTTATTGTCGGTAACCGGACAAAAGCTCACCGGACAAAAGCTCACCGGACAGACGCTCACAGGACAAAAGCTCACCGGACAAAAGCTCACCCATTTTTTGACAGACCCCGACGAAACCTCACCCGTTTTTTGACAGACCCGGGCAAAAACTCACCTCGATTTCTTTTTTTTTTTTTCTACCCGGGCGAAACACGGGCTGAAATAAAGTGCGAACGCAATGGACATTGGACCATTTTTAGGAGAACTTGTACCTCATCCACCATTGAGTTGCGAATTTTTTAAATATACTTTGAAAGAACGGGAGTTCGGCCTTTTGGAAAAGTACAAGACAGATGACCAATTAAAAAAAAAATTGTGCGGGATATTAAATATGCTCGGGTTCCTTCCACCACAGCTTGTTCCACAGGAACTAACCACCAGGGAAAAGTCTACCGGTGACATCGCTACCTGCTGGATTATTTTGATTGCACGTATTTCAACGGCCGCTTCCGTTATGCTTCTGTTCCATCTGCGGCGGCACCCAGAGCGAATTTTTCCCTTCGCCTGACTCTGCGCCGACGACGACCGGAGTTTCCCCCGGTACGGTGGATTATGTGCGACACCACTCTTCAAGATAAAGACCGGATGAGCAACACCTGCGAAAGATAGAGTACCGGGTTCCAGAAGCTCGTCGGCCACGCCCATCCAAGCGTCTTGAGGCTGATTGAATGCCTACAGCAAAATCAGGCGCTCGTTGCCACGGCAATGGCAACAGCCCGGAGAGCTGAGCCCACCGTAAAGCGGGTGCGAAAAATTACTCTGCACCTGCAGAATCGTCTTAGAAATATTTGCGAGGCCTTGCATGTACATCGAGACCTACGAAGACTGCTGGAGCTAGTGGGGGACTGCATTCGCCTCTAACCAATCGATAAATAAACTTGTTTCTACTAAAATCAACAAACCATGCGCCTGTCAGATTTAATTTATCGTTGCCTTTTTGTGTCGCACGCATGCACTTAAGTGGTCCGCACTCGTGTTAAGACCAACATGAAATTTTCTCGTGGTGAGCTTTTGTCCGGGTCTGTGAAAATATGGGTGAGCTTTTGTCCTAGTCTGGGAAAAAATGGGTGAGCTTTTGTCCGGTGAGCTTTTGTCCGGTGAGCTTCTGTCCGGTGAGCTTTTGTCCGGTGAGCTTTTGTCCGGGATTCGTTATTGTCACGGGAGTCCAGTCGGTGCGAACCGTAAAATTCAGCCCCAAACTTTGTGTTCGATATTTCTAGGGCCCCAGCTTTGCACGGCGTGTGCTGAACTCCGGGGAACAAAGTAAGCACCGAGAAATACCTAAATTTAGTGGAAGGCGCACAGCCACCTTGAATATGGTTCATAAAGTCTAGGGCACGCAATTTTCCCGAAGCGGGGCTCTTATCAGCGGCTTTCTAATTTATAGCATGAATCAGCGTCGAAATACTACGGCAGATCGACCTCATGATGGAACATAAAACACCTAATTTGCTTTACGCTTCTTTGCCAGATGTGGCTTTCACTTGACAGCGCTAACTTATCACAGGAGCACTACATTTTTAAGTTAAGGTTAGGGCTTTAGAGTTAAAGGCTTGATATTGACAAATTGGTTGAATACTCATATGTATATACGGAAAGAAGGAACAAGTAAACATCTCGAGCAAAAAATAAAGCATCTACAACTTCTTGATACTTTGTCTCTGCCCTCCTACGAACGTCAGCACTACAATAGGGCCCCGATGTAACCTCTGTGTCCTCTTTTTTAAGGATTGTACAAAAAACAACGCTTCCTGTACAAAAAAAAAAAAACAAAACCTTAGAAAGGGGCAAGCACAAAAAGGGGGAGGGGTGTTCAAACGCGAAAACTATACCCTAGTAGTGTCAAAGCATTTCTCAGAGAGTCTTCCCGGCGTTTAGAGTGTCCACTATTTGAATAGTTTTACTGTAAAGCAGCCGGCTCCTGCATCTCATCTCTTGTTTTGACATGAGG